TAACTCAGAAGTGATGAGTGTAGGACACACTGTCCACTGTCCACCATAGGTGACCTCATTAACATAACAGAATTCCCAAACAGAATTCCATCCTGGGGGTAGAGGTAAGGATCCCAGCACATGCTTTGCTCTGTGCAGGTTCTGTGACCCAAAAGGGATTAGAACCTATGTGGTGGGTCCTGGGGGCTTGTCAGCAAACTCTAAGCTTACTCCAGACTCAATGAGTCGGATACGACTCATAACGACCTTGGATTTCTGAGGCAGTATCATTACGGACGTAGATTGCCCAGCCTTCCTTCCAAGGAGTGGCTGGTGGGTTTGAACTTCCATACTTCTGGTTAATAGTCAAATGCCTGAGGCGCTACACCACCAGAGTTCCTCTTGTCAGCAAAGCGCCACTGTTACAGGGGAAAAGAGACCCCAGGTTCAAACGGGTTCAATAGAGACACTTTTAGTAAGCCGTAAGACAAAGACACAGCAAAGACCATCATCCAGGGTGACGGAAACCATCCGCATGTGCACAGTACAGCAAGCTGAATGGAATCCGCTGAGTCACAGCCACGGGGCTCATTATAGGTGATTGAAACAAACGGGATTGTCACAGAATCAGGATTGGTGGCGGATTGATTCGTCACTGTTGCACGGGGCACTGCAGGAGTGGGGAGAGGCCTGTAATTGAGAAATGCACATAATTGAGGATAAAAAAGGGTCATGGGGCTGGTTCTGGGCTTGAGCACCTGGCTCTGTGGTGGTCCAGGTCTGACTCATGACCTGGGCCCGAGTCACAGTACAATGTGGCTACAAGGCAGTCCCAGGACCCCGACCTGAGTTTAAACTAGGTGAGGACACACCCAGGCCAGTTCCCTAGTTCTCTGTGTGGGCATAATCTACTTCCAGCCACTTCCAACTGCCCCTCCTGAGGTTTGTCCTAGAACTTGTCCATGCACGGCCACAATGGTTGTTTAAAGGTTAGAAAGAACTCAACGGACGTCTGAACTTATGTCAAGACTCCAAACGGACTCAGGGCTCCCACTGTAGACACAGCCAGCCCCAGCCCAAGTGCTTTAGAGTTTAGGCTCTGATACAGCAGCACGAATGTGTTGATGTGTGGAAGGGTGGCTTGGGGAGGTGGTGTGGACGAGGCATTGAAGGGAAGTTGGAGAGGACATCTCAGCCACGTTCCGCTCGTCCCTGGTGGTGGTGCTGGCCCTGCAGGGCTCCAGTGCCACCGACCACGTCCCAGTTTGCCATGTGCCTGCAGTCTGCCTCCATCCTGTGGGTGCGGACGTCCTGGAGTGAGACCCCTGAACCCCAGGACCGCAGTGCTACCAGAGCCCCTGTGCTGGTCCCCACTGGACACAGGCAGATGGCAGTGACCGTGCCTCAGGTCCTAAACCGCATGGCGATTGTGGTGGCTCCTAACGTATCACACCGGTGCCACCGCAAATGTCTGCAGCGACTGCCCCTCCTCGGTGCCTGTTCAGCTCTGGGCTTTCTGTTGTCTCCTTCCTGCTCCTCCCAGGAAGTGAGGAGGACCCAAGTCCTGGGGCCTGCCCTGTCTCGCTCCATCTGGGTTGTGTTATGTTTATGACCCATGGGCTTTAAAATCCAGCAGGCTGCTCCTGTCTCTTGGCTGACCGGCTCCACTGGGCCTCCCCGGCTTGCCTGCAGCTCCGCCCACTGGGGCACACACCATGTGGCCTGTCCCTTCTGTGAGACATGAAGAGCCACCCTTGGTCGGGACTCACTGGTCCCAACGTGAATGCTGAAGGCCCTAACTTATCTTGACACTTCTGTAAGACACTGATTGCAGCCCCCTCTGCAGGGGGAGCTGGAGGCGTGATTCCAGCCAGAAGCAACTCTCGAGCGTTTTTCAAAGAAATGGCCTGAAAGTAGGGGTGAAGGAGAGGCATTGCTTCCTGGCCCCGCTGCCTCCCGCCCATCGGAATTCACGGCAGCCCGACATGGGCCCCGCTCTCCTGTTTTGTAGCCTCTACTCCTCCGTTGTAGGGTGCTGGCGGGTCGATTCCCACTCCTAGCGGCCCCACAGAACGGAGTGGGACTGCCCCGTAGGGTTGTCTAGCCTGTCATCTGGATGGGAGCAGGTTGCCGGGTCTTTCTCCGGCAGAGTCACTGGGTTGGTTTGAACTCCTCACCTTAAAGAGGTACCTGAAAGGCTCAGGGCTGCTGTGCTGTGACCGAGAGAGTTGGCCAGCGAATGTGGCCGGTCGACCTGCTGTCCCTGCGGTTTCGACGCCAGAGGCCAATCCTGCTGGGGTGCAAGATGGGCTTCTCTTTGTGAAGTGGGAGGCGCGCTCTTCCCAAAGGGGAAGCGAGGAGGGGATGCTGGCAGTGGGGCCACTCTCAGAAAGATCAAGGCAGCACAGGGGTAGGGCACACCCCCAGGAACAGGTATGCATGCCCCCCTGTAGCTGGGGAGCCCAGGTGGGGTCCACACACCCCGGGAACCAGTGTGCACACCCTGTGGTTCTGGGAGCCCAGGTGAGGACCACCGTGGGTGAGGAAATAGACATACCCTGGCAGCTGCGGAGCTGGGGCCTCGGAGGGCAGGGAGGGCAGGCTCGGGCTCGCCATTGACGGGAGCCAGGTGGGCAGGCACCCGGACTGCCCACGAGGTGAAGCTGCCTGCTCAGGTAACACAACCTTTCATCAGTTCAGGAAATACAGACACAGCAGCCTTGGCCTTTTGTTTCGTTTTTGCAGTGAGTTTTAACACCCTATGCTGGCATAAACCAGTTTTGCATTTACCATACGTTTTTAGCGCTAAGGAAGACTTTACCCCAAAACACCAACCTATTGCCATTGAGTTGATTCTGGCTCACAGCGCCCCTAGAGGACAGAGCAGAACTGCCCCACAGGGTCTCTAAGGCTGTTCATCTTCACGGAAGCAAAACTCAAACCACACCCACTGCTGCACTGCTGTGGAGTCCATTCTGACCCACAGCGCCCCTAGAGGACAGAGTGGGACTGCCCCAGAGGGTTTCCAAGGCTGTCAATCTTCACGGAAACAGAGCCCAAACCACACCCACTGCCGTGGAGTCAATTCTGACTCACAGCGCCCCTAGAGGACAGAGTGGAACTGCCCACAAGGTTTCCAAGGCTGTCAGTCTTTACAGAAGTAAAGCCCAAACCACACCCACTGCCGGGGAGTTGATTCTGACCCACAGCGCCCCTAGAGGACAGAGTGGGACTGCCCCACAGGGTCTCTAAGGCTGTTCATCTTCACAGAAGCAAAACTCAAACCACACCCACTGCTGAACTGCTGTGGAGTCCATTCTGACCCACAGCGCCCCTAGAGGACAGAGTAGAACTGCCCCAGAGGGTTTCCAAGGCTGTCAGTCTTCACAGAAGCAGAGCCCAAACCACACCCACTGCCGTGGAGTCCATTCTGACCCACAGCTCCCCTAGAGGACAGAGTGGAACTGCCCCACAGGGTTTCCAAGGCTGTTGTTTTTATGGAAGCAGACTGCCTCATCTTCCTGCTGGGAAGATTGGAGCAACTGGTGGGTTAAATTGCTCAACTCTTGGTTAGCAGCTGAGTGCGTAACTGCTGTGCCAGTAGAGCTCCTTAAAGACTGCGGATCGCAGCCACTGGCGCGCGCTCTCACACACGGGGCATGAAATTAGCACTAATAAGACCAGACTTTTTGATCCTGCTCAGAGTCAGTTGTCTAGAGCTGCTCCTTACACCCCTCCGTTTGGTCTTTGTCTTTTGACTGATTGAGCTCTAGGTGAAGGAGCCTTGGTGGTGCAGTAGTTGAAGCCTTTTGGCTGCTAACCAAAACGTTGGCAGTTCGAACCCATCAGTAGCTCTGAAGGAGAAGGATGTAGCAGTCTGCTTCTGCAAAGATTTACAGCCTTGGACAGCCCATAGGGCAGTTCTGGTTCCCTAGTGCCACTCTTGACAGGAATGCACCAGAAATGGGATGGCCTTAACAAACAGGACTTTATTCTTATAATTTGTAGGCTTTAAGTCCCCAGGCTCTAGGGGCTGGTTGAAAGCCTCTCAGCCGTGGGCTTCAGCTCTGCCTCTTGGTCCCGGCCCACTGGAGCTAGAGGCGTTTCTTCACTCAGGCAGCTACTGGCTGCTGAGGCTGAGAAGCCCAAGGTTGACAAATAAAGTGGTACAGTCCCGACGTTACCAAACCACATGGCAGGCCATTTATTTAAGTCCATTGAAAGTCCCAATAGTGGCAGAGCATGGCAGGCTACTGAACAACGACACAGCTACCTGCAGGGTTCAAGTGTGCCATAAACTGGAAACCATTCCCAAAGCTGCTGCTTATATACGGGAAGTAGACCACATACCCAAAGGCAGCTACTCAGCTGCTTGTGGTAGATCCTACCATGGAGTTGATTGCCAGTCTCATCATGGGGAATAACTACCACCAGCTGCCCAACCAGGCCCAGCCACGTTGACATAAACATAACTACCACAGTTGCTATGGTTGGAATTGACTCGATAGGAATAGGTTCTGGAACTCTTATTGTGAGAGGCGGCCCAAATGGGGATCTTTGGTGTGTGCATGGGGTCCTAGTGAGGATGCCCCTGGGGACCACTGTTTACTTGCAGTTTGCCTGTGCACTGCACATGGCTCATGCTCTCAGCTGCTAACCTAAAGGTTGGAGGTTCAAGTCTGCCTTGGGGTGCCTCTGAAGAAAGGCCTGGCAATCTAATTCTGAAGAATCGGTTGCTGAAAATCCCGTGGGGGGCAGTTCTGCTTTAACCCACCTGGGGACGCCAGGAGGCTGCGCGCACTCAGTGAATCACTCCCCTTGTCTAATCTCGCAGAAGCCGCTTTCCTGCCTCACGTTCTAGGCGTGAAGCGTGTGCCCAGTAGGCACTCTGCAGGTCCCCGGGGAAGTGGGTGGTGACTTGTGAGGACCGTTTGGGGTCAGAGGTTGTGCTCGTGTCAGCAACCCTCACGCTCTCCTCGGATTTCAGAGTCACTGTCTGTCTGTCTGTCTGTGTGGTCTAGTTGCAGATTCCTAGTGTGAAGGGCTTCGATTTTGCCAAGCAGCACCTGGGCCAGCACAATAAAGACGACATATTGATCATCCATGAGCCTGTGCCCCCGCCAGGACCTGTGAAGGACCACACACCCCCGTCCGAGAACGGAGACGTGCCGAGCCCCCAGGCCAAGGTCCCCTCCAAGAGCCTCCGCCACAGAGGAAGGTAGGAGTGCGTCTGGGGTCTCGCCTTGCTGAATGTCTTTCCCTTTCCGCTAGTCAGCTTCTGGGACCTGGAGGACACTGGTGAGTATTGCCCTGAGTCTGTGGCCCCAGAGCCGAGGATGGTTTGCCCAAAGTCACACCTGAGCCCGAGTGCTTTGATCCTCTCCAAGGGATGCAGACGGTGTCGTCCTGCTGCTGATCATAGGGGTTCACTAGCTAGTGTTTTCAGCAGGAGATCACCAGGGCCTCGTTCCGAGTCTGTCCTAGTCTGGAAGTCTTATAATTTGGAGGCTTTAAGTCCAAGTTCAAAGTGCCAGGCTCTAGGGCTGAAACCTGAAACCTGTCCACCATGGGTGACCCTGCTGGTGTTTGAAATAACAGTGGCACAGCCTCCAGCCTCACAGCAACACATAAGCCTCCACAGTTTGACAAACTGACAGATGAATGGTGGTGTCAGAAGATGAGGCCCTCAGGTCGGAAGGCACTCAGAACACGCCTGGGGAAAGAGCTGCCCTCAAAGTAGTCGATCTTAATGTGGATGGAGTGAAGCTTTTGGGACCTTCATCTGCTGATGTGACACGATTGAAACGAGAAGAAACAGCTGCAAACATCCATTAACAATCAAAACGTGGAACGTACAGAGTGTGAGATCAAGAAAATTGGAAGTCGCCAAAAATGAAATTGGATGCTTGAAGATCGCTGTTGCAGGCAAGTGTGCTGAAACGGATGGTGTTGGCCATTTTGAATGGGACAGTCACATGGTCTCCCATGCCAGGAATGACAGACTGAAGAGGAGTAGTACTAGGGTCACAGTCATCGTCAAAAATGGACATTTCAAGATCTATCCTGGAATACAGTGCTGTCTATGATGGGATAATATCCATACCCATACAAAGAAGACCACTTAATACTATTACTATTCAAATTTATGCACCAACTACTAATGCCAGAGATGAAGAAATTGAAGGTTTTTATCAACTTCTGTGGTCTGAAATTGACTAAATATGTGTTCAGGGTTCATTGATAACTACTGGTGATTGCCATGTGAACGTTGGAAACAAAGAAGCAGCATTGGTAGCTAGAAAATACGCCTTGGCGATAGAAAGGATGCTGGGGACCACATGGTGGAGTTTTGCAAGACCAGTGACCTATTTGTTGCAAAGGGCTTTTTTCAACAACATAAACAACAGCTATATGCGTGGACCCCAGTAGATGGAATACACAGGAGTCAGACTGACGACACCTGTGGAAAGTGGCGATGGGGAAATTCAGCATCATCAGTCAGAACAAGGCCAAGGACCGACTGTGCATTGGACCATCAATTGATCCTGTGCAAGTTGAAGCTGAAGAAAATGGAAAGTCCACAAGAGCCAAAATACGACCTTGATTATATCCCACCTGAATTTACAGACATCTCGAGAATAGATTTGATTCATTGAACAATAAGGACCAAAGAAGAAAGCAAAAGGTCATTTGTTGTTGTTGTTATGTGCCGTAGAGTCGGCCCCGACTCTTAGCGACCCCTCCTTGGGTTTCCGAGGCAGTATCGCTACGGAAGTAGGATTGCCCAACCTTCCTTCCAAGGAGTGCCTGAAAAGGTCATTTAAAAGTCAGGAAAGAAAGAAAAGCCCAAAATGGATGCCAGCAGAGACTCTCACACTTGCTTTTGAACAGAATGGCCAATGCAAAAGGAAGAAATGATGAAGTAAAAGATCTGAACACAAATTTTCAGAGCGCTGCTCAAGAAGACACGTAAAGTGTTTAATGAAATGTGCCAAGACCTGAGTTAGAAAATCAAAAGGGAAGAACATATTTGGCGTTTCTTAAGCTGAAAGAACTGAAGAAAAAGTTTAAGACTCAAGTGGCAATATTGAGGGATTCTATGGGCAAAATATGGAACACGGGGCAAAATTTGATGCAGGAAGCATCAAAAGAAGATGGAAGGAATATACAGTGTCACTGTATCAAAAAGGATTGGTCGATGGTCAGCCATTTCAGTAAGTAGCATATGATCAAGAACCAATGGTGTTGAAGGAAGAAGTCTAAGCTACAGTGAAGGCATTGGCGATAAACAAGCCTCCAGGAATTGACTGAACACCCACTGAGATGTTTCAACAAATGGATGCCGTGCTGAAGGTACTCAGTCGTCAATGAGATTTGGAAGACAGCTACCTGCCAACCGACTGGAAGAGACCCATATTTGTGCCCATTCCAAAGAAAGGGGATCCCACAGACACAGACATTATCAAACAATATCATTAATATCACATGCAAGTAAAATTTTGGTGAAGATAATTAAAAAATGACTGCAGTAGTAGCTACACAGGGAACTGCCAGAAATTCCAGCCAGATTCAGAAGAGGACACGGGACAAGAGGCATCATTGCTGATGTTGGATGGCTCTAGGCTAAAAGCAGAAAATAGTAGAAAGATGTTTACCTGTGTTCTATTGACTATGCAAAGGCATGTGACTGTGGATCATAATAAATTGTGGATTGCATTGTGAAGAATGGGAATTCCATACACTTAATTGTGCTCATGAGGAACCTGTACATGGGCCAAGATGCAATCATTTGAACAGAACAAGGGGTACTGTGTGGTTTAAAATCAGGTATGTGTCAAGATTGTAGCCTTTCACCATACTTAGTCAGTCTGTATGCTGAGCAAATAATCCAAGAAGCTGGACTATTTGAAGAAGAATGTGCATCGAGATCGGAGGAAGACTCATTAACAACTTGCAATATGCAGATGACACAGCCTTGCTTGCTGAAAGTGACAGGACTTAAGCACTTACTGATGAAGGTCAAAGACTACAGTTTTCAGGATGGATTACACCTCAACACAAAGAAAACAAAAGCCCTCACAACTGGACGAGTAAGCAACATCATAGTAAATGGTGAGAAGACTGAACTTCTCAAGGATTTTCATCTTACTTGGATCCACAATCAATGCCCATGGAAGTAGCCGTCAGGAAATCAAATGACATATTGCAATGGGCAAATATTCTGCAAAAGACCTCTTTAAAGTGTCTCTTTAAAGCAAAGATACCACTTTGAGGACTAAGGTACACCTAACTTAAACTATCACTTCACATGGACGTGAGAGCTGGACAATGAATAAAGAAGACCGAAGAAGAATTGATGCATTTGAATTGCCGTGTTGGCAAATCACACTGATTGTGCCATGGGCTGCCAGAAGAACAGTTAAATCTGTCTTGAAAGAAGTACAGCTGGGATGCCTAAGAAGCGAGGATGGTGAGACTTGTCTCGTGGGCATTGGACACGTTATCAGGAGGGGTCATTCCCTGGAGCAGGACATCGTGTTTGGGAAAGCAAAGGATCGGCAAAACAGAGCAAGGCCCTCAACAAGACGGACTGGCACGGTGGCTGCAGTGGTGGGTCCCAGCATAGCAAGGATTGTGAGGTTGGCGCAGGACAGGTTGTTTCGTTCTGTTGCACATAGGGTTGCTGTGAGTTGGAACCGACTCCACAGCACCTGACAACAACAGAGGATGCTCACGAGTCCCTGGATGATGCAAATGGTTAAGCGCTCAACTATTAGCTGAAAGCTTGGCAGCTCAAACCCACCCAGAGTGCCTTGGAAGACAGGCCTGGTGGGCTGCCTCTGAAAGGTCCCAGCCTTGAAAGCCCCACGGGACACTTCCACTCTGTACACATGGGGTCACCGTGACTCAGAGTCAGCTCAGTGGCAAGCAACATCAACAAAGGATGCTGAGGGGGTGTGGCGATGTCTCCCCCACGAGTGCTTCAGTGATAGCACACTCTCTGAGATGGTTTGGGGCTCCCCATGAGTTGAGTGGGGTTTGCCCAGCTCTTGTGTTTTATCCTGAGCGTAACAGGCCCTGTGGCAACATAGCAGTCACGATGTATAAAAAGTGCTCGGCAGGTAGAGCACCCCTGCCCTGCTGGTGTGTGGCCGCTGGACATCACTGCTCTCTGTAGGGGCTTCCCCGTGCAGGCCTGGTCCTGCCCTGTTCTCTTCCGCAGCCCCCATTCCCCTTTTTAGCGTCTTTGTACAGGACCCTTCGCTGCCCCCTCGCTGCCCAGCACCCCACCCCCAAACTTCATTTCCATCCCTGATCAAAATCAAGTGCACTGAGAACTGCTCGTGGACAGATCCCTGGAAGTCCCTTCTCAGCCTCTGTACCTGGAGGAAGGGCACTGGCTACGTCAAATGCCCAAGTTCAGAATCAGATTTAATGCACTTGACTTTGGATCAGAGTACCGTTGGCTCCGGAAGCTTGCATTGTCAGCTTGCCTTGGAGCTTTGAGTGTTGAATCCTGGTGACTTTCTTCTAAGAAGGAGACAGTGTGTGACCATACCAACACTCAGCATGGCGTCACGATCTCTGAACCAGCAGGAGACCCACCTCATGGATGAAGGCCTTTTTTGAGAACTTAATACACGCTAGTGTGTGATTGCCGACAAAAGAAAATGCATCCTGTAGAGAGGTGTTAATAGCTTAATTATTTTCCAGGCTGGAATAAATTAAACCCTGGAAGGTTATTGAATAAACTAGCAAAATTCTACAGCATTCGTTCTCCCTTGGCAGTCTTACTCTCTAAATATTTAGTCATCTGTGTGGTTAATGTAATATTTTCGTATTGCTTAGGGACTCCACCGTAGGTCTTAGCATTTCACATTTAAGTCAATAGCCTGAAGTCAACAGGGGGTGCTAACTGATCACGAATTTTCACTAGCCTGGTGTGCCTTGAAGGAGCTTTGGTGTCCCAACAGTTTAGCGCCTGGCTGCAAACGAACGTTTGGGGGTTGGAACCCACCCAGTGGCTCTGCAGGAGAAAGACCTAGGGGTCTGCTTTGTGTTAGGTGCCGTTGAGTTGGTTCTGAGTCCTAGTGTCCCCGTGTACAACAGAATGAAACACTGCACGGTCCTGCGCTGTCCTCACAGTCATAACTCTAGGGTCAAGGCATGGGGTCATCGTGGTCTGAATGGACTCGGTGCCTAACAAGTACACTTGCTTTTTTATGTGTGCAGTCGGCCTTAGGATTGTAAGTGGAGGCTTCTCCCAAAGAGCGGAGTTGCGTGTGGGCTGCAGCTTGGTGGGGAGCTTTTGGTGGGGGGCTGCAGAACGTGTCTGAGGAAGCTGCAGTGGACCGTGTGCTGGCCCTGAACCCAGGTCCTCTTTGTCCAGCTCACGGTGCCCCCAGACTGCTGGTCCGAGCGACCAGGGCTGGCACTGGGACTTGGCCCGTGTGGGCAGGGGCCGTCCTCTAGCTTGGTGCCCCGCTGGCCAGTCTTTGCTGCAGCGTGGCCTGTGGAGCCCTTTGCTTAGTGAGCCGTGTCACGTGTTAACGGGACCCGGAGAAGCCTCACAGAGAAGTGAGCTGTGGGCCACCTCGTCTCCGCTGCTTTGGCTGAAAACTGGAGCTCTGTGTCCAAATCAGCACCATCATTTTCTTCTCTCTTGTTCTTTCTCCTTCTTAAAATACAATAATAAAAAAAAAAAACTGTGGTGCAAATACACTAGCAGACCCCATTATACTGTGCTTTGCTTTCTTGTCCTTCTCAGACACTGGGTTTTTCACACATTGAAGGCTTGTGGTGACCCCACGTTGAGCGTGTCTGTCGGTGCCAGGTGCCATTTTTCTAACAGCCTGTGCTCACTTCATGTGTCTGTGTCCCATTTTGGTCATCCTCACCATATTTCAACCTTCTGTTTAATGCTTTTACACACTTAGTAGACTACAGAGTAGTGTAGACAGCTTCTGTATGCCCTGGGAAACCAAAATATCTGTGCGACTCGCTGTATTACGGTGGTCTGGAACCAAACCCTCAGCGTCTCCGAGGTGTGCCTGTACGTAAAAAGCACAGCAGTTAACAGTTTCTACAGGTACTACTCAGCGACATTGAGTCCCTTCATACGCTCTCCAAGTCCTGCTGCCATTCTCTCCCTTTCCAGATCATTCCACCTCGTTAACATAAGCTTATTGCCCCCTACATAGCACCTGCCCTTTCCCTCCCTCCCTGCCCTGGTAACCACTGACAACCTTTGCTTTCTCACTGTTTGCTTATTTCCTGTGAGGGAGACCACACAGTGTGTGTCCTGTTGCAGTGGACTGACTTCACTCAGCATCACGTCTTCAAGCGCTGTCTGTGTTACCACGTGGCTAGACCACCATTCTCTTTATGGCCGAGTGGTATTCTGTTATGGATGGCCCATATTTTTGTGTCTGTCTGTCTGTTTTCTGGCCCTTGGATGTGTCAACGCTGGGGCCGTTGTGAGGCGTGCTGCAGTGTCTGTATGGGAGTGCACGGGCTGCTCTCTCTCACATATGTAACCTGTTTTGTGTCTGCAGGGTTTCACCCTCGGATGCCGACTCTACCGTCAGTGAGGAGTCCAGCGAGCGGGAGGTGGGAGATAAGCCCCCCGGAGCGGTCAGCGATGGCAGGCCCTCCCGCGGGCCCCAGAGCGGTCAGTGACTCTTCAGTTCTCCCTGTTGGACGTAGTGGTTCTGGGATCCCGATAGGCTGGGGTTTACACCACTTCACATGCTACAGCTTGTCTAAAAACGACTGTGGGGTGGAATATCAATTGTCTGTGTGGAGACTTGCCCAGCAGTGAGGGTCCCACTGGACTCAGGGTCGCTATCTGCTCTTGGGGGGATGGGGCTGTGCTGAGGTGTGGGTTCTCTGAGGTGCATGTAGCGGTTAATAGCCAGGTTTCTCTCCACCTGCGAGTCTTCACTATTTCCTCCTTGAGGGACAAGGAGGCGTCTCACGGAAACCAAGTCTCAGAAATGCCTGACTTGACATCAGTGGCGCTCTCGTTAGGAACCCCCTCGACTATCTGCAGCTTCCCGCAGAGAGCAATAGTGACTTTTCAGAGTCTAGGCCCTTCTGTCTGGTCCTGCTGCAGCCCAGCTGCCTGCAGAGCCCGTGGTGTGATGAGGAGGCCCAGCATACCGGCACCTGCAGCCAGGTGCTGGCCTCCGAACAACGCAGGACCCCCCGTGTGTCAGAGTGGAACTGTGCTCCAGAGCTTTGAAAAATAACATAATATTTTAGTGTATCTTTGGTGGAATGTACACCACAAAACAGCTTCCCGTTCAGTAGTTCCTACCCCAGCTGTTAAGTGCCATTGGCGACATTCTTCACATCATATCACTGGTCTCATTATTTCCATCCCAATTGTTCCGTTCCCGAGTTCCCATGGACCCAGTCTTCCAGGCTCCCAGCCTTTGTCTCTTGGCGTTTGTGTGTTTGGTGACCATTGGATTCAGGTAGATGGTTTATTAAGAAGGAAAGCAGTCCTCAAGGGTGATCATCTTTCCTGTGAGGGAACGTGTTTAGTGAAAAGGTGACTTGAGGGGATGGTTTCATTTTGGGGCTAGAGAGTATCTCAGGGCAGTGGACTCAGGGATTCCTCCAGTCTCCGTGGGGCCAGGAAGCCAGGAGTTTCTGTCTCCCTTTCCACCAGGACCCATCCTAATAGAACTGATGGCGTGGTAGCCGGGCACCATCTAGTTCTGGTGTTAGGGTAGCGGGGCTGTGGTTCCTGGAGACAAGGCGGCCTGTGGACTGGCTCCTTCTCTGACTCTTGGGTTCCGTCTTTCTGTTTTGCTCCAGACGACCAGAGGCCAAGAGGTGTATGTTAGATGACTGTTCACCAGCTTTTGAGACCCCAGACGCCATTCGCCAGACCGGGGTGCAGAACATAAACTTCATGATCTAAATGATGACAGTTGACAGAGTTGTCCTGCTCCACAGGGTTTTCAATTGGCTGATTTTTCAGAAGTAGAATTGGCCTTTCTTTCAAGGTGCCTCTGGGCGGACTCAAACCTCAGACCTTTCAGTTAGCAGCTGAACAGGATAACGGCACCACCCCTCGCTTCCCAGTCCAGGTGTGAAGTTAGTGTGAGTCCCATTCTACAGGGCATTGCTGTGACACATGGGCTGCAGGTCAGACAGGCCTTGGGAGTGCCACTTGGAGTGACGGAAGGGTCCCCAGGTTTAGTTTAATAGATTCTGGTCCATGAATATGCTTGAACAGCTGTTGTGTTTGCTGGTGCAGTGTCTGTATTTCAGGACCACGTTTCAGGAATGCAGAGATAACCGGCATGCCACAGGCATCACAGAGAAACCCATGAGAGCCACACTCAACGGGACGGCCTTGTTTGCCGCGTCTCTCAAGTTGCCCATCTGTGACGGGGTGCTGTCTCACCACTTTCTTTCACTTGTTTTGGTGGAAAATATTTGTGTTTTCTTCTTTCGCAGGTTTCTACCTTAGAAGGCTCTCACTTGTGTGGGTTTTACTGTGTTACTGTTTTTAAAGTTTTTCTTGTGGCAGAATACGTATAACAGAGTTTACTGCTTGACCCATTTTTTTTTTTTTATTAGGATTTGGGTGAAGATTTACAGAGTAAATTCACTTTTCATACAGCAGTTCACATATACTTTGTCTCA